TTGTGAAGTGGTAAAAATTATACTGACCATTTCACTGGAAAAGCCAAAAGAGCAATGAATCAAAATGAAAAATATGCAATTGTAGTACTTTGGTTTTCCTAGCTGTGGGTTAACTATTCTCTAATAATTTTTCCTTATTATTTCTCTCCTACAAAAAAGTTCTATCACTTTTTATTTGACAGTCTTACTCTTCATAGCCATGAAGCTATTTAGGGACTACTTCTCTCATATGTAGATTGTTTTTATAACTTCTCCTCTCTTTTCTTTTCTTTTCTTCTTTAGTTGTATACAATACCTTTATTTTGTTTATTTATTTTTATGTGGTGCTGCGGCTCGAACCCAGAGCCTTACACGTGCTAGGCAAGTGCTCTACCACTGAGCCACAACCCCAGCCCACCTCTCTTTTCTTTCCTGTCCTGAAAAAAAAAAGTCTTCTCCTATTATCCATATTGACTAACATTTTTCTCTTGTCAATTCACTCTCACCTGTAGAATGTACATCTAATTGCTCCATATTGCCAATCAAATCCAAATGATACTGGTGGGTTCCAAAGCTCTCCCGTGGTCTTTAACCTGTTCCTCAAGGTTATTTCCCATTACGTTCTGACTTCTAAGAAACAAGTGCTGTATTTCTATTATTCTTTGCACACCTCTCCTTTGCTTATTCTGTTATGATACTTTAATAAGAGGCTATTGTGCTATGTTAAGTTCTAGGTTATAAATATAAATAAACATCATCTTGATCCTCAAGGTTTGGTTGAGATAGCAGATGACAGGCAGAAGCAATATCGAGTGATAAGTGCAGTAACAATTATTAATGTTATAGAGTGCTAAAGAGAGGAATAAATATGAAGACAAATTTACAATGTCATTTCATTACTAAAACAAGGCGATATTACAGTTTGCAAGTTCCATGAAAGTACAGACCTTTCTTATTATTATGTAGGTCCTTCAAAAGTACAGGGTGAATAAATGCACACCGAAAGCATAACCCTGAAATTTCATTCTATGAAGGGGGTGATAGAAGTGGGTTTGTTTTTCTAAGTGCAAAACCACCATTTTGTTGAAGCTGTACTGGAGTAAGAATAAGAAAACCTGAAAAAAAAAAAAAGAAAAAGAAAAAGAAAAGAAAACCTGGACTTTGGTCCTGGCTCATGTCTAACAAGTCAGTTGACTTAGAACATCTCACTAGTTGACATCCACTTCTTCTCTCAAATGAGTAAATTGGGCTAAATGTCTCCAACTTCTTCTGCTCTTTCGATCTATAACTCTCCGTGTCAGCATTCATTCATTACTTCACTGGACACATATTAATCGAACCTAGAGTCTGTGTGGTGCTAGATCTTGTGATTTGTTTATGTCACAGACATTCAAATCTCATCCTTTCTCACTGGAGCTGGATGCTCTGACGGCTAGAATCAACAAAAGTGCTAACCACCTAAGGGTAGCAGACTGTGATTTACTTTCTCACTTCTTTAACCCTGGAGACACAGGCATGGACAAGAGAAGCTGCAGCTCTTTGAGCATTCCCCTGGTCACACGGGCAGGCAGGAATCCACATCACACTTGGCATATTTGTTGATAGTGAGTCTGCGGAGTGACTGAGTGAAGATTGAGACTGAGCTAACCTGACAGTTTGAGAGCTTAAAAGCATCGATTAGGGAATGCACAAGAATTTGACCTTCCCGCGCCTCCCTGTTTTGGTTTTGGTTTCTATAATAAGAGAGAGAGAGAGAGAGAGAGAGAGAGAGAGAGAGAGAGAGAGAGAGAGAGAGAGAGAGGTGGGGGGGTTGGAGAAGAAACTATTCTTTCATGGTTTGCATGATTACTCTGTCAAAACAGTAAGGGACATGAATTAATAACTACCTTTGAGCATAATTTTAAGACTCTTACACAGGAGGGGCTTAACTGACAAACAGTCGAGGGATTGCATTCCATGTGTGTCCGCAGCACACACTACTATATTAATCAGCCTTAGAAGAATCAATTTCCCGTGAGAGAGGAGCACAGATGCATCTTGTTTGTACTTATCAGCCCAATGGCAGATATTCACATTGCACTTTTTAATTAGGTGATAAAGCAGCCTCACATATATGGTAGTTGGTGCTAATGAAAATTTACATAAGGAACTAAAGAAAATTCAATAGATGTGAAGATTACCATTTTGCACTTTTTTATTTCTATTTGTGGTAATAAAAAAGTGTGAATTGAAAATCTAAAGAAAAATAATAGTTGATTTACTTTTAAAAGAGAATAATACTAAATAAGAACTCCTCATGAACACAAAAAGGTATCTGAATATTTCATTTTGACAGTATGTAACAATGACAGAGTCCTCATATTTATCTCTCCTAACTCCAGAGTCATGATTAATTTGGACTATAAAATGTTTACCAATAAATGCTAAGTTTGCTTATCTGTTCTTTTTAATAATTAAATTTTTATTGTATAAAGGAAATACCTTCAGCTTTCTGTTCCATATTGTAGACATAAACATGAAAGAAGAAATAATATTCAAGGAAAAGAAATAAAGGTTTTATGCACTTTGTCATTACTTCACCACTTAGAGTTTTTTGGACATCATTTATAATTGGCAAAGTTTATCCAATTTGCTGCAATCAGTTGACTGCTCTTAAAATCTCAAGCATCTAAATTCTCTCTTGAACTTAATACTCTTCTATTTTCTATTTCTTGTTAAATATACTTCAGATTATGTGACACTTTTATTAGAAGAGAATGTTTACAACTTTATTTAATTTTTAGGTAAAAATAAACAATATATATAATATAATTCATAAGGTAGCAAAGGGAATATTTCAATAAAAACATTTCTTATTGAGTGTAACTTAAATACTCTTGCAATAGATTGCTATGATAATATATATGAATATTCCTAAACTTATATGAACATTAGTAACAAAAATTTGCAAATTCTATGAAATAGTTTCTGATTAATTATTTTATTTGTTTATTAATTTTATTGGTATATTCATTATTTAATTAATGTATTATTTTATTGAGGCTATGATCAATTGTTTATTGATAAATAATTAATATTAATGTTAATATTATAATATAATTATACCTTCCAAAATATCATAATTCTATAAAGAATAATTGCAGTTTATTATTATTTTATTTCTTTACTTATTTATTTATTTGCAGTTCTGGGGACTAAGCCTTCATACATGCTAGGAAACTGTTCTACCACTGAGCTACAACCCCATCCCCATTTTTTATTTCAATTTTATATTGTATCCCTAATTCATTAGCACAATATCGGATAATTTTATATGTAAAAAACATTTAATCAGTATTTAGAATCATTATCTTAACCAAATCATATTGGAGTAGCCATATGTTTGATTATATTCCCATTGTAAAAAAGTGTTTCAATGATAGCAAAACAATATTAATACATAAATATTTTTATTTTATAAAGTTCAAAAAATATGACAATTTATTTCATTATTTTAAAACCAGAACCTCTTTTCTCCAAAAGAAAAGAGAGTTGAAGGCCATTGATTGATACTTTTTATGTCAGCCATCTGTCTGAAACTTTGATAATTTGGCTGCTTTCTATTATTACTGAAACATAAATTATAGATATTTCATATATAAACATGTAATAAAATAAGTGACTTACGATCAATGATTCATCAATTTTACAAAAGCATGTGAGCCATTGAATAATCATCATTTATGGGATATAATGCTTTGCCTTTATAAAATCATCTTTTAATGTGACTCCACACACTCATAAAAAATTGTTTCTATTTGTCTAAGTTGTATTCCAAAAACCAAGCAACTTATCTGAAGGGAAGAGAATTAACGTGAGCAGTTCAGTGTAAACACAAGTGGCCAGTGTCTACTGGATAAATCAGCAGAATATGGCATGACTTAGCAGAGCAGTCAGTTTAAAACACATTTCAAAATATGATAGTGGAAAAGAACAAACCCTACACAGGATCTGAGGGAATGTGTCATATCTTATTCTTTGTATGCTCTAGAGCAGGTAGATTGCCTTACACATAGCAGATGCTCAATAAAAATGTCAAAAGACTTCCTGACTGTGAAGATATAGTCAAATGAAACATGATTTATGGAAAAAGAAGAAACAATCTTGATGAGGAGGAGAGAGGTAGTAAAAATTCTGTTTTTGCAGTAATTTCTCATTAATGATGATACTACTTCTCTAGAGACTGCTTAGCAGGGGAACATCTGATCTGCTCTCTGTAGCCAGCTTATTGATTGTGTGGGTCGATATAATCTGATGCATAAAGAACTAGGAGAGTGGGAGGCAGCATTTTCCTGGCTAACTGCTAGCAGTTAGTTTACACTTGATGCATCCAAGCTGAGTGGCCCCACGTGAAGTTGAATTATCGGTAAAAGAAATCCTAAAATTGACAATTCTCTTTATTAGTAGGTCTAATGTTAGTGAAAAATTAGTAAGATTTAAAGAAAAGTGAAGATATGCTAAGGAGACACTAAATCTTATGGGCACTAGGGAAAACTTTGCTTTTCCTTTTTTGTATGTACTGTATTTTGAACATACAGATTAGAATCTAGTTACAGGGTCTTAGATTATCTTGATTCTTGGTTTCTATGTCCCAAATACTCAGTGCTAACCATTTTTGATAGTATTTTTTAAATTAAATTATTTGAGTGCTAACCATTTTACTGCTAGTTAGTATATATGCTGCAAACTAGTCAAATGTTTGGCATGGGGAGCACACCAACAATATAACAGCATCCTCAATGCAAAACTTTCAAACTGATCAAACAAATAACCCAGGAATAGAAATAAAAACTGCAAACATTTAATATGTAATACAAATAAAAATATTGTTGAAGAAGAGAATGAGGCTATTATTGGATAGGAAAACAGCTTGTGTTTAAATGTCAGTTTTAATATATCTGGCAGATTTCCCAACACATATTAGATAGTCACAAATTGCTAGTTTCTTTCCCTCTACCCCATGAGAGAATATTAAATGTTACCTGCCAGAGAGGGTCTTTTTGCTCAGGAAAGAGCTCAAAGTACTTGTGAGCCAGTTGCACTGGAGGCAGAGTTTGCAGCTTCAGGTTGGTCCAACTGTGCACGAAGTTGGCCAAGTTCACAAAGGTATACAACCCCAGACGATCATTTCCATAGTTAGATAAATGGGTCATGAAAATACTGATCTGAAAGATAGATAAAAATGACTACATAATATCATCTGCTTAAGCTCAAAAGTGGCAGCAAAATCTCCAGGAAGCATGTCACCTTACCTTGGAATTTCATGGGAAGTACAATTATCTTTTTATAGGGAAGGACCCACATTTAATTTCTCCATCAAACTAACACTTAAATTCACTCTTAAAGTTGTTATTGAGATTGGCATTCCCTCACTGCTTATCCAAAGTATAGTGTAAATTTTCAATATCAGTTTTTTCCCTGTTATGGAATCAGTATCATCAAATCATCAAATCAAGTAATTTTCAAACTACTGAAGCATCAGAATCAGATCAGTTCTAAAATTAAAACATTGGTTTAGATATTTTCTGATGTAGATACACACACACACAAACACACACAGAGTTTGAAATAGAATCAGACTTTAGTATACTTGTTTATTATCTAATGGAGATTTTTTAGTGCAATAAAGGATTTTGATTGCTTTCTGCATAAAGAAATGATAAATGCTTGAGGAAATACCTGATTTGCATATTATGCAATAAATATTTGTTGCACCATCACATAGTACCCCAGTAATGTGTTCAATTTTTATGTTTTAATGTATCAGTTAAAATTTTAATTTCATAAAACTAATAATGTTTGCACAGAAATTGATTACATTTATCCATACTCACTAATCTTCTTACAATTTTTTATTTTTAAAATTTTTTATTGTTGGTTGTTCAAAACATTACATAGTTCTTGACATATCATATTTCACACTTTGATTCAAGTGGGTTATGAACTCCCATTTTTACCCCGTATACAGATTGCAGAATCATATCAGTTACACATCCATTGATTTACATGTTGCCATACTAGTGTCTGTTGTATTCTGCTGCCTTTCCTATCCTCTACTATCCCCACTCCCCTCCCCTTCCCTCCCCTCTTCTCTCTCTACCCCCTCTACTTCTTACAATTTTTTAAACCTCAATGTTAACTCTAAAATTATATGGCATTTCAGTTACTGTTGTTCTTTTGTGTATATAAACTAAGGAAAATGAAATATAGATTGTTCTGGAGAGACCAACCAAAATTCTGAATGTAATTATAGTGATAATCTAATTTACAATCTATCAGGCATTGTAACAGGAATTAAAAATACCAAATAAAGGAGAATGACATAATTTTGATCTAAATTGCAGAGATTACTTCTGCAGCTCATTAAAAAAGAGCTCTTTTTCTGTAACAATATTTTGTATTTGTTCCTACATGTCAAGTTATTTTAAAATACAAATAGTTTAAAAGTAAATTTACTACCAATTATATAAATCTATAAACGTTCAAAGCAATCATGTAATAGAATAAAGTACTTCATTAATTTATTTAATAAAACAGGAAAATAAAATGTTACAATTAATAATAGTAGAATAAATGCAAAATTTGAAATTGAACAGTAAATATTGAAGAAAAGTCAAGTGTCTCAAAAGCTAAGGTTTGGTAATATTGTTCACATACTTTCTTTTAAGAGAGTAGGTTGCTGGATGTGGTTATTTTGGGTTATTTGGAAATAAAAATGGGTATGCAGTGCCATTACAATACCATTTTTTGTTGCAGACCCGGCTGGCTACTCTCTGCAGTAAAGGTTATACTGATGACCTTCAGTTCAGAAGATATGTCACTGTATAACTGCAAATGCCCAGAGAAGAGACCTTTTATTTCAAAATAAAAAAGCATTACTTTGCACCAGAATTCAATAAACGATACTCTGGAAAGGAATTATAAGTAAAAGATACCAAGTTCCTTCCTTGAATGCCCTTTTAGTTTGGAAAAGGCAGTGTTTTTCCATATGTCATACTAGAATACTGAAAAGAATTCTCTGAGGAAAACCTCTTGAAATTATCAGATTCACTCCCCATTATAGTTGAAAGCAAAAAAGAAGATGAGAACATGACCCTTCACCCTTAGTTTTTCAGAATTACAAAATGAATATCTAAAGTTTACAAAGCATTTACTATGTCCTAGGTATGATTCTAAGCCCTTTACATATATGAAGAATTAAATCTTTACCATGCTCTTACAATGGAGGTCCTGCTATTGTCCCCTTCACAGATGAAGAAACAGACTCAGAGCAGTTAAATAACTCCTTGAAGTCCACAACTAGAGAGCATCAGCACAGGAATTCAAACTCAGGAAGCCAGATTCCCGCTTCCAACACAGGATATGCCTGAGACCTTCCACCCAAGCATATTCATATATAGAATCTGACACCCATCATTTTTTCCCTTTCTCCATTACAAAAAAGATAAAGTACATATTTCTATAGAAGACAGTGAAAAAACGATGAAAGTATTATCTTGGTAACTTATAGTTTTTCTTTCTTCTTTGAAATAGAATGACAAAAGATACATTATTTTTTGGAATCCTGAATGAAAAATTCTTTCTTTTGGGGGGTGGTGGGCAAGGCAACCTTTACATCTGCAGAAGGGCTACTATGGAAACTGACCCCTAAATTAAAACTTTTAAGACAATGAATTATAGTATTTGAAAACAATGCTACCAATAGATTCAGAATTTATCTTTGGATATAATATCATTTCTGTCATATTTCTTGTCCACTTTTTCCCTTGGGTATATTCAAACTTTATACTTGCAGATCATAAAAGAGAGACTATATTGAAGAATATTCTTTATATAGTTTGTTTAGGTAGAAGTTTACATTGACTCTCCCAAATGTTAGATGATATAATAATATTACTTGAGATTCATATGGGATCATTTGAACAAGCTCGAGTTATCTGTCATAGGTTTTTGCATTGGCCATTCTCTCACCCTTTAGCTCTTTTATCTCGAATAGGAAATGTTCTCTTGGCAGGACTTAATTAGAGTTTCTAGAACATAACAGTATCAGTAGTTGATGACCATATAATTGCAATTGTTGTCATGAGAACTTCTTTATAATCACCACAAAATAATATGCATTTGATCCCAATAAGTATGCATTTATCTCATGTCACTACTGTAATTAAGAAATAAGACAGTGTAAGTAGTGTGCTTCAAGATAATTATAGTTTCCCAGGACTGAAATTATTATGAAAAAAAACAGGCTACAGGCTGAGTGCCTAAAGAAATATAACATGTCCTAGAAATCTACCACCTGCCCTCTAGTGCTGTTATTTTAAGATGGAATTTTAAAGCTCTGGTGAACACCTAAAGTCTGACAAAATTATTTTTAAAAAATCTACTTTGAGAGTATTGTAAAGATTATTTTTAGATGACAGGCAAATACATGTGATCATTTCATTGAGGTATTAACGTAATTAAAAGATTTTTGTAGTGGACTAGTTCTAAGTAATTTTTCCAGAATTTTCTATAGGAGACTAAGCTTTGTTTTTATGAAGGATGTATAAAACTTAATGCAGGGCAAATAGAAAATCTGACTGTGGAAGGAAGCAGAGTCTGGAGATGTTATGTGGTTCTAAGCTGAGGCATGCTTGTGCAATTAAATTTCCCTTTGCTGAAAATAAAAAGAAGCACCCTGGACACTACAGTTGCAATCACTGTTGTATGGGGCAGCATGTGCACATGCCTTGCTGGTTAGAAACAAATTAGTTCTGGTATATGGTCAATTGACTGCACTTTAAGAAAAACAATTCTGCAGGCACAGCTTAACTGTGCATATCTGGCTTGCTAAAAGCACCTATTGTGCAGACAGAGCATTTTAGTTTTAGTATTTCTGGACAACTGACTTGTTTTAAAGAAAAAAAATATTCTGAAGAGTGTAGGGAGAATAAGATAAATTAAGAATGAATGTGGTTTGAGGCCTACATAAAGGAAGTCAAACAATATGCACTAGGATATAGCAGCAATTTTCCACAAATTTATAATATATTGCTACTATTTTAACATGATGGTGCATCTTCTACTTATCCTGTCCTTTTGTTTACTTATTTTGTTTATTATTTCATTGCTATATGTTAAGAATACTTTTACTTAATAATCCCAAAATATCATTTAGAGAAAATATGAGAGTACTGCATGGGTGCAAATTGTTCATATGCGCAACTCATTGTACCTTGAAATATTCCTGCTCAGAGATATGAATTGATTCATATAACCAGAGTTATCTCTCAGAGGACAAAAGGAGGCAAGGACATCTTGTTCAATGGATGACTTTAAGAATGAAACATAAAATGCTAACATCAACAGTCAGTTGCAGGGGGTTCCCAAGGGGCCTGGAGGTCTGGGTGACATTACTTCTGTCACCAAGCATACCCTTAGGTTGCCTAATCTTGTTCTTGGCACTTCCATAGGTGTTTCTCTTTCAACTCTCAAGGCTGTCAACTCCCTTATGGTCAAACATAAAACAAGCCTTAATTCTTCCTTTTGTCTACAGCAATAATATAAAAATAAGTTGGTAAGCTTCTTGTCAAATAATTATTCATTAAAAACAACATTTTTTGTTAACATGATTGCCAACCATAATATTATAGTTGAGCCATAATATTTATGCATAAGCCAAATTTGAGAAGATATGATCTGTGGAATAAATCCATTGTGGAATAAAATCATTTGTCGATTCAAGGAAAATGGTGCTTTCAAATATGGTAATGTATAAATCTTGATGATAGAGGGTTTGGTAAATATAAATGAACTCTGGACAATTATTAAGTGAGGGGAAAACACTGTCATAGTGACAAACAGGATACTGCTGCATTAATGCAGGCAAGTGGCTCTCATGCCAAGTTTTTAATTCCAAGCTACACAATTAGTGACTAATAATGGTTTACTTTTGTCTCTTTTATGAAGTGGCTAATATCCAAAATACATGAAGAAGAAAATAAAAAACAGGAAAACTAAAATAAAAATTAAAGATCTTATTTTTTTCTGTAAAATTAAGCATCTAGGTTGAGTTCAGATATATTCAACTCTAGGTTGAGTTCAGATATATTCACTGTCAGTGCCAGAATAGTTTTCTTGCTTTTCTTACTTGTATAACAAATACAATGTCATTGTAAATTTTGTG